CCCCGGCCGGCCCGGGTTCACTCCCGACCCTTCGGGCCCGGCGCCTGGCTGCTCGGCGCCCGGCCCCCTTCCCGTAGGAACCGCGGGAAGCCGGGCTGCTCCGGCGGTGCTTACACGCGCGCAGAATTAGCGTCAGCCCGACCTCTGCGCCGTTTATTGTTTCGGGATTACTCCTTGTCGATTTGATCACTAGCAAATCCAGCTCCGCTCGACACGGATATGCTTAGCTGATCGGGGTGGGGGGACGGGAGCCGGCCTCCTCCGCAAACCCGCCTCGGGATCCCCCATCAGCGCCTCGGGGCGCTGCACCGGGACCACCTGCTCTCTGGGTGGCCCTTCCCCACCCGGTACTGAGAGGGCCCGAACTAGCAGCCCAGCGGGGTGGGAGGGGCGCCTGCGGGCCGATGGGTGACAGGCCCTCCCCGCCATTTGGGAGAAAGAGCCTGCGGGTAGGCGCTGCCACCTGCTGTGCGCTCCCCCCAGCGGCAGACTGTGGGCAGCCGGGGCGTGGGTGTGCCCTCACTTGAAGAGGGAATGGTGGGTATTTTGCGCCCCGTCATCTTCCTTTTCGGGGGCTGGCTGTGACCTGTTGAGGCTTTGAGGCGTTGTGGCATCGCCAGCAACAGACTAACCTGGGGGTGAGGGTTGGGAGGAAGGAAGCTGGTTAAAATGCAGATTCCCTGGCCCCGCCTTAGACCCACCAATTAGAGTTATTAAGGGGCAGGGTGGGACCTGGGGATGTGCATTTTCACACACTGCCCAGGTGAGGTTGACGCCCACTGAAGGGTGAGACCGACAGCTGGGCGGGGCCTGCGCCTCCCACCCGCCCTTCCCCTTAGCGTCTTCTCTGGCCGCTTCCCGGTGGCTGCCGCTTACTGCCCCGTCGGTTTCTTGGAACAGGAGATGCAAGGGGGTGAGGATGGCGAAATCCAGAGTGGCTTCACCAGGTATCAGTGGGATTTAAAAAAAAAAAAAAAAAGGAATGATGCCAGCTGCCATTTTCTAGGGGTTTTGTCCCCGGCTTCCTTGAATCTTCGGTGAGGCGGTCCTGTTCGCTGTTGTTGTTTAATACAGAGGAGGAGATGGGAGCTCAGAGAGGGAATAGCTGCAGAAGGGAGAGTGAATTCAAGGTTGTTCCTTCGCTCTTCTCCTGTGTCTTAATCCTGACTACTCAGGGCTAAAGAATGGGGACAGGTAACCTGAATTCTTTCCCTGGAATGGTGCCTGGCACATAGTACACCCTCAACAAATATGTTAGTGAATTCATATGATTCGTGAACACTAAAGTTCTGCAGTTATTAATTCATGCCACAAACAATTATGAAATGCTTACTGTGTGCAGGGGCCATGCCAGGTGATAGGAATACAAAGGTGAATTAAACAAGCCCTGCTCAACAGGTGTGTGTGTGTGGGGGGGGGGTCCCAACCTTGGCAGTACATTCACCTGAGGAGCTTAAACAACTACCACTCTCTGCCCCTTTCCGGACCAATGACATATCTTTGGGGGTTGGGTCTGGGTGTCAAGATACATATTTTAAAAGCTCCGGAGATGATTTTAATGTGCGGTCATCATAGAGAACCTCTAATTTAGTGGGTGAGAGACAGAACACAAATAATTATTTACAAGTGATAATTACCGTGATAGAAATATACAGGGCTAATAATAATAAGCTAGCGCAGAGGAAGTGGTGCAGAGATTTAAGAAAGTGTAGGGTTTCGGTTGGAATGGACGGTCACACCCCCGTCTTGGGTTTGTCAGCTTTGGAGCCGATTTATTTCCTAACCAGTGACACAGATTCAGATCCAAGACATTCGCATATATGTTGTATTCAGTCTTCATTTTTAGGAGTAGCAACATCGAGGTGGGAATCCTGGTGTTTGAAAACACGTTTAGATGCACAGAGAGATGGCAGGGCTTCCCGAACCATAATTATGGACCAGTCCCTACAAAGGGACATCCTGTTTGGTAGAGGGTCAGTGAAAATGAGGGAAACCCTCAATGAGGTGGATTGACACAGTAGCTGCAACAATGGGCTCAAACATACCAGCCATTGTGAGGATGAGGCAGGACCCGGCACTGTTTCAGTCTTATACATGAGGCCGACTCAACTGTATCTAACAAAAAAGGGAGAAGAAACTCACATGTGGTGAGTCAGGCTCTCTGCTGGGCGCTTGAGATAAATAGTCCTATTTCATCCCTACAATGACCGTATGAGTTTTGGGGGTTTATTTCCCCTGTTTTACAGATAGGGAAGCTAAGACTCAATGATGTTAAATCATTTATTCAAAGTCATAGAACTAGTTAGTGAGAGCCCCCAGCTGCTCATCCCACCCAATGGCTCTTGGCAATGAGGCCACAGATGGCTGGAGGGTTTTGTGATTAAAAAACCCAAATCCTAGTTGCTGTGTGTCCCAGGGGACAGAGTGTAACGAACTCTGGGGTCACTCAGCATATATTGCCAAGGCGTGCAGCTCACTGCTTGGAGAAAGCCGGTGGCCCCAGAGCCCTTGAGAAAGTTACCACATCCCTGATGTTGAGAAAACCATTGAAATGGTTTAGTTAGGAAACATGACATTTGCCCTACATTGCCGGAAACTGTCTTCTGACGTCATGTGCTTTGCTTCTGGCTGAATGGGGTTTTGCTTCTGGTGAAGTGCCAGAGACTCAGGAGTCAAGAAGCTGGGTCCACGCCCTGGCTTCAGCATTTACTAGCTTTGTGACCTTGAGAAAATTACTTTACCTCTCTGGGTCTCAGATTCTTCATCTGTAAATGGGAATAAAACAATAATTATACCTACCTAGTAGAGTTGTTTTGAGGGTTAATCCATGAAAAGGATTAGAACAGTAAGTGCTTAATTAGCCTTAGGTGTTTACTGGGGGCTAATAGTTAGATCTTACCATGAGGTTTGCTATTGGGGTTGTCTTAAGAGTGCCCCTTTGAGAGGAGGTGGGCTTTGGTGGTGCGAAGTTAGAAATACCATGAACTTCACAGCTTGCTCTTGATGAAATTCGGGAAAATGTGTAGGTATATAATGTGTTCCATCAGGTGACGTATGATGTGTGATCTTGTAGAAAGGGCTGGGAGCTTGGGCTCTGGCTGACCTGAGACTTAGCCTAGTCTAAGTAATAATTCTGGGTTGAAGAAGGATGCTTTGATGTTTACTTTATTTGGACTTGGGGAACTAGGAACTTTTGGTTATGAACTGGGTTGAGAAAGAAAAGCTGAATATTTAGGTATATATTCATTCCACCACTTTTTTTAAAAAAAAAAGCTTAATTGAGGTATAATTTATGTGCCATAAAATACATCCACTGTAAGTGTACAGCTCATTGATTTTTTTAAGTACATTTATAGTTGTGCAACCGTTACCACAATCCTATTTTCAAACATTTCTATCACCCCAGAAAGTTCCCTCATGCCTCTTTGCAGTTAATCCCTGCTCTCATCCCGTCCCCAGGCAGTCAATCATCTGCTTTCTGTGTCTATAGGTGTGCTTTTGCTGAATGTTTCATATAAATGTCATCATACAATATGTGGCCTTTTGTGTCTGGCTTCTTTCACTTAGATAATGTTGAAGTTCCTTTTTACTGTTCAGTAGAATTCCAGTGTCTAGATGTACCACATTTTGTTCATCCATTCACCATGGTGGAATTTGGATTGTTTCTACCTTTTGTTTTAAATAACAATGCTGTGAACATTCACAAGTCTTTGTGTAGACTGTGTGGACATATGTTTTCCTTTCTCTTGTCTACCATGAGTTTTTGGGACCCTCTTTGTCAGTCTTTCCTGAATCTTCTATGACAGCACTGTGGATTCTCCTCCGTCATCTTCCTCTTTCCAGACATTAAATGTTGGAGTTGCTCAGTATTTGGCTATAGGTCCCCTACCCCTCCGTTCCGTTCTCTGCTCCCTCCATGGGTGAGCTCATCCACGTCCATGGCGTCAGTGACCAGGGACCAGAACATTTCTGTCCTCCTGACTTTTCCTCTCAACCTGGCAAAAACTAAACTCCTGGTCTTGGCCCCACAATGATCCTGGTCTTCCTCCAAGGTTGCTCAGCTCAGAGAAAGGGAGTCCCATCTGTTTAGTGGCAGAATCTTGAAACTCAGACTTCATCCCAGATGTCACTTTCTCCCTCACCTCCCATTGCTAATCCGTCACCAAGATCTGTTCGTTTTGCCTCCTGACTCTTTCTGTAATCTGCCCACATTTCCTCAGCACTGCGACCACAGCGGTCATCATTGTCATCATCACTTGTCTTATTGCATTCATGCTATTGACCGACCAATGGGTCTCCACCTTGTGCCCAGAGCAGATGTAGCCAGATGTTGATCTGACCATGAAAATTTGCTACTTAAGACCCACCAGTGGCTTCCCATCGTCATGAGCGCCCTGGCCCTGTGCTGACCAGTATGGTGGCCAGTATCCCCACATGGCTATTTAAATTCAAATGTAACATAATTAAAGTGAAATAAAATTAAAAACTCATTTCCTTGGTGGCACTAGCCATGTTTCAGGGCTGGTGTCCACATGTGACCAGTTGTGACTATTGGGCAGTGTAGATGCAGAACATTTCCATCATCACAGAAAGTTCTGTTGGCGGCACTGCTCCAGCTCCTGCCTGCTTCCGTCCTCATTGTCACATACTCTGGCCCCTCCCTCGTCCAGCCACATGCCCTCAGCTTAGTGTCTCCTCCTCCCAGGCTCCCTCCTGATGCAGGGCCTTTGCGTGTGCTGCTCTCTGCCTGAACACCCTTCCTTTCCCCCTTTACCCATTTAATGCTCAGTTTTCCATTAAACCTCCTCTGGGACGTTCCTGACTAGAGATCACATCCCACTCTTGGAGCCTCTCAGAGCACCCAGCCCTCTCCTTTCTTGCGCAGCAGCAGTTCAACATGTGTGTGACGGGGAGCACCATGTGGTTTGGGACAGTGACATCTGAATCACCATGACACAGGGTCTGGCACCATTATACAGGGCCAGGCACCTGGCACCTTTTTGAGAGAAAGAACAACTGAAGCTGATCTCCAGATTTATTAAAGAAGGATAGTAAAATGTCTGCCCTAGGAGTCGAGAGAGGAGAAGCTTTTCTTGATGATTCAGGCAGAAGTCTGTCATACGTGCTCCAGCTGCCACTTACCTAATCTGATCACATCTCCCTGGCGCAGAATTGTCATGGGTCTATGGAACCAAGTCTGCACGTCTCTACCACGTGCTTGGAGAGCTGTGGAGGGGTGGATGCCTGAGGAACCCGGGGAGGGGAGGTGGTGCCAGGAGGAGGGAACGGATGCTTGCAGGCAAAGCAAAGACAAACCTGGGCCCCCTCAGTCCCTCTTTTCTCTTTCTCTGCGGTGAGGGGTGTCAGGTGGTGGGTGAGCATGTGTTAATTTTCATCTTGAAATATGAGAGCCATATTACAGTGGAGTTTTGTTTTTTGGTGGGTTTATGTGAAAATCTTAAAAAGATACACTAATAACGATGGAAGAAGCCATGTATTCAATGGAAAAGAATCAAATAATATGAAGTCTAGATTGTTCCAGAGATTACAGCATGGATGGTTTGGTTGGCTGAATAGTGGTTCTCAAAATTGTCCGTGTCCTACTCCCCGGAATGTGTGAATTTGTTCTTACATGGCAAAAGGGATTTTGTAGATACGATTTAAATGGAGAGTTTTGAGATGGGGAGATTATCTTGGGTTATCTAGGTGGGCTCCATGTAATCACAAGGAAACTTATTATAAGGAGGAGGGAAGAGGGTTAGAGTGAGGGAAGGAGATATAACGATAGTAGCAGGGGTCATAGGGCAGACATTAGAATATGCTATGTTGCTTGCTTAAAGATGGAAGAAGGGACCATGAGCCAAGGAATGCAGGCAGCCTGCAGAAGTCGGGAAAGGCAAGGAAAGGGATTCTCCCCTGGAGCCTCCAGAAGGAACGCAGCTTTGCC